AGAGGAGGAGATCAGAGAGGAGGAGATCAGAGAGGAGATCAGAGAGGAGGAGAACAGAGAGGAGGAGATCAGAGAGTAAAAGTACTCAGTTACTTCAGGTACCTTCCAGTTCCAGACGTTGACCATCATGTCGTGTTGATAACCGACACTGACGATGTATTTTCCGTTTGGAGAAAACGTGACGCAGGAGACGCCATATTTATGTTCCTGAAGCTCAGAGACCTGAAGACGCTCTGACACCTCCCACACCCGGACCGCCGGCATGTGACCACTCTGGGGGGGGGGGGGTCAAACACATCTAATCAAACACCAACGTTTTATTCAATTCAGATTTCTTTGTATAGCACCAAATCATAAAATACTTATTTTATCTCAAGGCTCTTTACAAAGAACTTAAATCTTCTTTAATAAAGAGAAACCAGCAGGTGAGCATGTGGACATCTGAGATAGGAACGCTGCCATCTTGAGGTGACATGAGGAACTGAGGCTGTGATGGATGCAGATGTTCAAACAGCCGTAAACTCACCTCTCCTGTAACCACGTATCTCCCATCTGGAGAAAATGCTAACGTGGTGATCGCCTTCCTGGAAACAGACACATTTTATATCATAACCACAAGAAATACTTTCTTCTTCTCTTGTTGGCTGTCATGAGTTCAGACTGTAATGCTGCGGACCTTTATTCACAAACCACAATTACATCAATTTGATCCAAACATTTTTTTAACTTTACTGTGGTGAAACGCATCAATAGAATTAGACCATCATGCAATGCAGCAGGTCTCGAGTCATGTCGCAGTAGAAGAAGGAAGCTACATTTAAACTTTATTAAAACTGAATCAAACCTTATTTTAAACTTTTCTAAAACATAATTAAAACTTGAATTAACCTTGAACCTTATTTAACAGGAAGTGGTCACATAGCAGTAGTAACAGAGAGAGCTGATTGGCTGATGGGGTTTCACCTGGAGCTGTTGAGGATGTGATGCTGTTTGTTCTTCCGAGGATTCAGCAGGACAACAACACACCTGTGTACACACACACACACACACACACACACACACACACACATTATCCTCATGAGTCATGACAGGCTGAGGAGTGTGTGCAGCTGAGTCAGCAACTAATTATATTCTTCCTCATCTCTCTCACACACGCACACACACACTCAGACACTCACACACATACACACTCACGCACACACACACACACTCAGACACTCACACACATACACACTCACTCACACACACACTCGCACGCACACACACACACACACACACACACACACACACACACACACAC